TGATTGTTAGAACATCAAAATTTTTACAACATTTTTATTACTCATGCTTGAGTTTTCTATATAATTATTGTGAACCAATAAAATTATTTTCAGAACTGTGTCTAACTAAATTTTTAGATACTTCAGCAAAATCATTTTTTCTATGCAGAAAAAAGTAAGTTGAAAATTAGCTCCACGATATGCGTAAAAATTTTATGAAGTGTCTGGAAATATTCCGAATTGTAGCCGTTTCTTTCTCCATTCAAACTCGATCATGCGAGAAATACATCACAAAAGACGATTTAACCTCGAGCTACTAGTCTCGATATATTCCAGCCGGTATTCCACAATCGATAGAATCACATTTTCGGAATACTTTATCACTCCGACATATGTAGCGCGCCGCGTCGCGTCGCGTCGCGCCAGTGCGGCCATAGGCATTGTCCAATACATTCCGAATGAGCCTGCCGACGCTTTTCGCGAGGAAAACTGCCTGTCCCATGACACGATAATATTTTTAACACATTCGGTCATAAAAATTCCATCTAGCTCCGACGCTAGACGTGAGTATCTCGATCCCATGATGCAGCTCGGCTCTGTACGCGTCACTGGCAACCCACGTCAACGGTGTATAATATTCTCTCGGACCAACGCAATACAGTTTACGATGTGCTTCGGTGCTCACGCCAAGTCGTTACACACAGACCTTCGTTAACCGGCCCGGAAGCGACCAGCGGCCGAAGCATAAACTTCCACTGGAAACCTTATAATAGAATCTGGCCACGAGCGATTTTGTCAAAATTCTACGAGAGAGAAACCTGTCGATATTGATATAGGTCTTTTAAAGAAATACTCTCTTATTTCTCAAAAACTAAACATTAATATAATTTTATTAATATACTGATAAAAATGTGATCTAATTAGATAATTAAAGAATCGCAAAAATTTATAAAAATACAACAACACATATTTTTCTCTCTTGTAGGATTTCGACAGAATTTCTCGTGATTTCTGATTCTGTTATAGCATCTCTAATCTACACGAGTGATAACTCATGGAATCGACAATGCGTGGACAGATGCATTGCAATGTCTTGAAAACGATTTACGATGTAAATCGTAAGACAACTAACCAAAATTTTCGCAGAATCAGACTGGACGTAATCGCGAAAAAATACAAAATGATGAGCGTCGGAAACAGCAAATCGATTCATAAAGGAGAAACTTCAGCTGTTGTTGAGTGGAACATGAAATGAATTTGCGATATCTATTTACTCACGGATCTTCGACGATTCATTCTCATGCTTATTCAATCCCATTCGTACCTTGACTCGTATAAAAGTCAATTCGAGTAAGCAGTAAGTCACGAGCGATCCACCGAGATAGATAACGACAGTCAAGCGACAGATCATCCTCTGGAGGAAACAAGATGTCGCACACGATAAAGAGTTAATCAATGTATTCTTTCAAAGCAACGCAATCTTTTTAAAATCTTTTCATGATTTCAAATTTAGTCTGATGACAAACCATATATCACCAGATTCATTATACACAGTTAAAAAGTTCGTATTAATTCGACGTTAAAATATTAGATAATGAGCAAAATTACAATAAGAGATTGATTAATCAGAGATGATTAACATAAAACAACAGAATAATAGCATTAATCATCTCTAATATATCTCTTCGTTCATTTTCCCATGCTAAAATATTTATTTCATTTCGTTTTTAAAAGCACAGACATTGTGAGTTCTAATCTTGTAACTATGGGAGAGATTTTCGATAGATAACTTATTGTGGCTTTCCTAGATACTGCAAAAAATAGATTGGCATCTTCCAATTTTGTATGCGTACAACGAGCAGTACTAAATATGTAATTTTGCATCTATTATCGCTGAAGAAGATTAGAAGATTAACCGAAACGTACGAGATTATTATCAACCAATGATTTTTGTTTGTTCTGCAGCTCTATAAAGCTAGCAGGAAATCCAAATCAGCAGAATTAAATCGGACCTATCGGAATTTTTAATATTCATTTTGTACTGACGCTAATCATCTAATTTTTGCTTGACAAAAATTCTTAGTTCGCAATCAAAAATTATTACTTTGTAAATGTATTTTTATACATAGCCTTCGCTTTCTGTAATCATCTTACTTATACGCTTAGTTATACATGTGAACGGTACAGTAGGCACTATTTTCGCAGTTCGATTGCTATTCCTTTAGAAATCGATGACCGAGATCGACTAAAGATGACCACTATCTTACGAGAGAGACTCGATCGCTACTGTCAAAATTAATACTTTGTCATAGCTTCTCTTTAAAAAAAAAAGCTTCTTGGGGAAAAAGCGATGTGCACTTAAAAAAAATCATCAAAATTTATAATTGTTAATTGGAAATTTATTCCATCTGCCGAAAAACCGGAGGTTCGTTAAAAAAGTGGGAGTTTTCCATCGAAAACTGGAATAGCGGTGGTAATAAATACTTCTCTTTTACAAATTAGGAATTGAGAGAGCACAGGAAGAAATTTATAAGAAAACTAGAACACATGGTAACGCAAGAAATGACGTAAACAAATAAAATGAAAAATTTTATAAACATAAATGTCTTCTCAAAATATTTGAAAACGATTTTTAAATGTATAATGCTAAGACTTTTTAAGTGAACATTTCAGATTTGATGTCCATGTTTTGAAATATTTGTCATTTAATCACTCTTTTTTAACACATACCCAAAATGTATGCAAATATCTTGCTTTATACAAACTCTATTTTTACGAAATTTTTGAAATTTAAGATCAATAATAATAAATCCTATACCTTAAATTCTTTAACAGATTTGGCCGAATAATATGTATTTTAGCGAATTTCTCCTCGTCATCAGTATCCTCCGATATCAACAACGTGAACCGATATTTGATACGTGCTTTGTCCATAATGCGACGATATTACGCTCTCAATGCGACGAGATATCGTACCCATTATAAATGCCTATTATAAATGCCCATTATAAATATTCGATCGATAGCGTACCCGATATCGCGCCGACATACAAATGATCGTCCGCTCGGCATTTTAATATGCTGTTACGGATTACAACGCTGAGATTGCTACGAGCGACGTCGATGTAATTTCCTCTCGTCTCTTTATCCATTGTTCGTAGCGTGCACGCGAACGGGAACGCGAATCGAACTTATAGCACGATCGAATGGATCTACGCAATACGCGACGCAGCCATTACCGATTCAGTCAGTTCTAATCTGAACTAATCATACACATGTATGGTAACGTAATCTCCAATATCCTCGGTCTATATTGAATATAGGTGTAAACGCCAGAGGGAAAGCCGGAATCTCTACGCTTTAGTTCAAACACGTGCGCGCTGACTGCTCAGATGACTTCTTGTAATAATGAAGAGATAAACGCGGATGTGACACCTAACATCCAGCAAAGCGAGGCCACAGGCCGCTTAACCAGTTAAATTTCAACCAGCTAGTTGTAATTTTCCACTACAAATTAAACTTGACAATTAAGTCACGCGTTAAATTTGTTGAGGTAAAATTGTATATTTAACTAAAGAAAATTCTACTAAAATTCTCTAATAGCATTGATACATAATTTTTTTTTTTCGTTAAAATTCCTTTAATACAGATTTAACAAAATTTTCTTTAAAAGTATAACGCGAATTTTAAATCACATTAAAAACATTTTCTTACTAAAGAGGAATCATCATAAAATTTACCGTTGCAAGAGCACGATAATTGCGCGATTTTTTATTAACAATGAAATTTTAATGAAATACACACATTCAGATTGTACTTACTTAGATATAATATTTCGGATTATATTTGTGTATTAAATTCAAATATTATTATAATTTCAACAAATAACATGTATCAAGTTTCGTAGGCGCGTTTAAAAATAAACCATTATTATATTGCACGTGCTGTTATTGAATACAATAATTACATTAATCATCCTTTTACACAATAATCATTTTCCGTTCGAATGTTATGAAATTCGAAGCGGCGCGCTCAATGGAGGAAGAAGAATGTGTGCTTATATAATGCAAACATGATTGGAAATTATTATTAATATAATGAAAGAAAAGTAAAATATTGAAAACATCAATTTTCTGAGTATACAGAAATATATTTTCATAATAACGATCAATATGCAATCATGTTAATTATTTGATAAAAATTTTACTTTATTATGAAAATCAAAATTATTTCTGTAATATCGCAAGCGTATAAACGAAATCTTTTAAATCCTTTTTCAATTTTATGATGCAAACCTTAAATTTTTTTAACAAATCTTTTATTGATAAATAATACTTTGAAAATTTTTTTTTATCAAATCAAATCCTTTTTTTTCAACTCTCGAAAATGTTCGGGACACTCGATATATTCTTGACTTGTCTACTTCAAAATCTATTTCCGACTTGAAACTCTATGTCAACTTTTACAGAATTCTCTTATTAACGAATGTTCAATTGAGTACCCATTGAAAACTAACAGCTCATTAAAACTGAAAACGATTTGACAACCACTTCTAGCTACTGAATGCTGAACAGAAGAATTAAGAGCTTAAAGATTTTAACGAATATTATTTAATTAGACAAGAAAACCTTCCCTATCTAATTTATATAATTATCACCGAAATCCAACAATTAAATTTGGATTCCCACGCGAGTGCTCTCCAGATATCATGTTTTCCTTGAATATAAGCCAAAAAGCCCAGTGGAATAGTCTCCCTGAGGAAAAAGGAGAAGTTTCACTTTTTGAAATAAAAAATAAATCTAACATTACATTAGATTCATAAATGAGATAAAAGATGTATGCAATTAACTACGTTGATCTTTTAGATTGATCTTTGTCAAATCGATTCTTTGACATTTGATTTTTTTTATGACTCCTAACTTATAGTTACGACTCGAGACGATTTAAAGAATTTAAAAAATCGATTCTTCTGCTAAGGTCGAGCATCGTTAATGTAAAAGTTCTCTATCGAATATTTACAGATGGCGTAATTGAACGAGGCGATTCGATAAAAGAGACCGACCCAGTTGATCCTCGTGCGAGGTCAAAATTCATCAAAGATGTTTTAGCACAAACTGGCGGAAACGCACTGCTGCCCTGCCAATTCAACAGTCCTGGAATAGTAAGTACATATAGTTGACGACACGCAAATATGTACGTTTAATATGAATATACGCGCGCGTATATCGTCATTGTATGATGCACATACATTATACACACGGAGGAAGTTATGCTTGTGTGTAACTGTATGCATACGACATGTACGTCATACGTTATTCACAGGTTGGTAACTCGTTACTTGTATCGAAGTTACAGTTAGAGTAAGTTTTTTTCAGTAACTTAAATTTACTTTTTCCTTTCCATTTATAACTGTAACTTAACTTAATTACTTTTTTTTATAACTAGTAACTAATTTAACAGTCACTTTGTATTAAATTTACTCCAGAACTGTATATACTAAATTAAGTATTCTTCAAAAATATATCGTCCGCGCTAGAATGGCAGGTTACCCCCGGAAAGTACAAATTTTCGCGTGCAATTTCGTTCCTCGCGAAAACAGGTCGAGTACAGAATGGTTTGTCTATGGAGAGGAAAGCTAGAGTTCTCAGCGCACCGACCACTCGCGGTTGACGCTCTTGCAACATTAATACCACGAAATTGCATTCCAGCCAGATAAGAGTCCACCCCTTCTTTCATTTTATTCTCCTTGCTCAACCCTTGCGATGACCTGGAGGAAAATCAGGCCGATACAGTGAAATATAATAATGGTAAAACAAGGATAGATCATGCGAAATATGAATCTTTGGAAGAACAATATTTGTAATCTGATACAGCCTGTCATGTGCAAAAGATTAAAAATGTAGCAAGGATTCTGCAAGATTATGCAATATGAGACACATTGACAAGATACTCACTGAGAGAAAGGATTTTGTTAATTTAACAAGTTAGTTACAAATTAATTAATTTAACTAGTACCTTTAACAAATGATCGATAAATATGTGACAATAAATTTTGTTGTTGTGATTGCTGCTAGTCTGCTATATCAATCAATTATTAGTAACAAAAGCAAACTATATAGAATCTAACTATCTTTTGGATAGACTTTAGGCTTGTTTATAGAAATTGTGATGATCATGGAATTTTAAGTTATAGAAAATTAACCAAGCACAGTCAAATATAGGAAGAATACTTGCTAGAATTGATCAATTTCTTACAATTTGAGACTCTGCAACCGTCTACGACGGTTTATATGTGTGTATATATTAGGTGTTGGAATTAATTCGTAGCGTTTTACAAGTGATGGGAAGTACTTTCATTAATGTATTTTTTAATGCTCATGTGAAATAAATAACATTCTTTCATTAAAAAACGCTACGAATTAATTCCAACACCTAATATATATATATATAAACCTCTTATTTGCTAGCGATACTATTAATTATTTGTTACGTTGATGAATTAATTTGCAATCGTAATAAATTGATCGTTTTTTTAACTATCACATTTGTTTTCTCTTGATTTTCTATAACAAAATCATTTCTCTCAGTGCTTTAGTAAAAATCAGAAGCTTTACTTAAATCAGATATTTCACTTTTAAAAAGTTAACCTCATCTTTCAAAAAATAAAATTTTTATTGTACGTATACATAATTCTGAATATACCAAATTTTTTATTTTAACAAAGGTCTTTAATTTTCGATTGTTCAGGAATCAGAAATTATTAATGCTATAACAATTTTAAGGGAAAAAGCGCGGTCTGTACGATTCTCTGACATATAGAACGTTGACAAATTTTAAGTATACATTTGTAAAGCAGAGTAAAATGAAGGAATATAAAAGTGTATCGCGAATTCTATGTTCATCGTTATTACATTTGCTTGCATAATGCCAGTCGCAATGCACCTCGCGATTCCGTTTGGAAATTCCATTCGTGAAGCTTGCGGCTTAAATAGAATGTTTGTGTTTATAATACAGCAAACAAAAGAGCGATTAGACTTGTAGCTAGCAGCTACGCTTTGCCTTGATTATTATTTTATAAGAAATTATGAGAGAAATTATATTGCTTTATGCAAAAATGTTGTTTGATGAATAATAGTGATGAAGTCGAATTAAAAGCTATCTTGACAACAATAACTACCAGATGCGATATCTTTTTTGATAATAAAAAATAGTACTTGTATAAATAATTTTATATACATATATCGAGGAAAGGAAGAGTTATGGAATATCATCACTTTGTTTTATTAAAATAACTTAGTAAATATAATTCATATAATTAATTTTGGTACAAATTTATTAGCCATAAGAGTGATACAAAAAATTGAAAAGAGAAAAAAAAGATATCGCGGTTATGGAATGTATAAGAGGGCGAATATGGAATATTACAATTAATATACAGTATTTTACATGTGTGTGTGTCGGATACTTTCACATTTTATTATTAAATTTAAATTCAATTATATCATTTGAAAACCACATTTGAGGCCTCCAATTTTTTGTAAATTATGTTCATTTTATGTATCTAAAGAAGTTCTATCTATAACATAATTAGTATCACTCTATGGCTAATAAACTGAAATTCTAAAATTAATACCAACATATTTTTCAAAATTACGTATGCAGAAAGCATGATTTCGCTGAAAAGTGTAAAATTTTGCTGAAACACAGAAAATAATTTTGTTAGCTCATTAAACTAATTGTGTTGAAAACTAAAAAATGATGAGCAATGTTAAAAAATTTGTACGTTCTAATAATTAATTTGAGTTTGCATCAAAATAATTTCGATGGTTCAACAAAGTTATTTTTAGATCTGCATTCAGCAAAATTTTAGATCTTTCAGCAAAATTCTTTCCATGTAAAGAATACACATCTATAAAACTGTCTGTGTTACATGCAAATCTGAAATGCAGCTTTTACAACAACACAGTAAACACTAATAACTAGTAACCATATTATAACGTCCAAGCAGACTGCGAAGTAAGTTTTATGGTTGAATGCAGTACAAACTATAAAAAATATTGTAATAATATTCCACAATCAATCACTTTCTTTCCTTTACATAATTTTTCGAAATGTTCATAAACACTTTCATGCGAAATGAACATACAATTTCGCGACGATACATCAAGGCACTCAATAAATGATGCAATCCGATTCATTTCAATCTTTTTCCTCGCGCCGTTTACGAACGCAGGCAATTAGAGAGGGTCAAATTTAATGATAACCATGAGTGCGTCAACAGAAATGTCGTCGTGTAATTGTCAGTGCGGCCACTGTCGACCGATCACAATTAGACCTGAACTGCCTGCAGGGTAAACTCAACAACTATGTCGATCCAACGCGGTTAGCCGTTTGTCAGAGGCTGTCAAACTGCCGCAGTCGTGGTAAAAAAAAAAGGAGAGAGGGATCCGAATTAATTTCCTCTGCTTCTCCCGACGATAAATGCTACGCGCTCGGCGTTGTTCCGGCGAAATAACGCAGGAGCAATTAATACGATCGGAATTTGTTCGAAAGTTAAAAATCGGGCCGATCGTTTATACGAGACGAGAGCAAATGATTGAAGAGAGTACGTGTGCAATCTGCAACACCCTTCGTCTATCCGTTGGACAAGGATAGATTACTCCGGTAATCAATTTTGCCTGAAAGGGCTCGATATCATACACACGTCGCAACAAAATAATGAGATCGCCGCATCGAAATTCGTCGACGATTGCGCGTGTAACCAAGTAATAACTCTCGATTAAAACGTGTTAAATTGTCAAGAAATGAAGCCCGATTATGCATCGGATGGTTTGATTAAATTGATTACTCATGTATCTGCTATTAATCTCATGAAATTATATTTCTATTATTCATTTATCTACATTTTGCTGTAATATACAGGAAAGAAGATAGTATTGCGCAGCACATCCTATTTTATCTTTAATATCCTACTAATTTCCAACATCGATAAATGTATTTAATGATATATATTAATTAGTAGACAATTTAATAGCACAGTACAGTAAAACTAATACATAAAGAGATAAGAGATATTCTATGAAAATGTATCTTAAGTACAAGTTACATGGAAAGAATGATTTTATTGAAGTAAAATTTAGATATAAATTTAGATATAAATCTAAAAATAGTTTTATTAGTCCATCAAAATAAATATATTGAACGCTTAAGCTGATATGTCAGAACTTTTTGAACCACTATTATCATTCTCTCTGAGCGTCCATCATATTTTAATAGCATAATTATTTTCATATCTGTACCTATCTAAATTTTTAAATGCTTCAGTAAAATCGTTCTTTCCGTGTACAGAAAATTAACAAAAAATAATTTACTGATAATACAAAATCATGTAAAGCGACAATAATTCAATCACAGTTAATCAATATATAAAACTGTGTTTTAATGAATATCGTAGAATTGAAAAGGAATTTCAATTCTACAGAATTTCATTTCACATTATCGTAAGAGTATCATTCGTATATAAAAAGGTATTATGTTGTTGCTAACCTCGATTTTCATATCTCACATGCTAGAGCCAGACAATATTAACCGCGCGATCGATAGGGCATGACAAAAAGCTAACAAGAAGGGAATGAAAAGTAGATACCACTGGAATGACAATGCCATTCGTGCGGTCTTTGAAGTGCCAAATTCCAGCACTTCATTCGGCGTCAGCGAGGAAATTGCATGAGAGAATTGCGTTTCCTTTGTCCTTTAAACCAGAGGGTATCGCAGGTTGCCTTTGACCTGTCGTTGACCATTACTATTCAGACATAGGATACGTCCAATTGAGAATCCGATCCTGTTGTAACAAATCCATATGATGATGGACGAATTATGTCTATATTACATTACGCGTTATACTATGTGTGTTATATATTTTTAATATGATATTATAAATATCATAAATATTATAATTAATAAAAAGTATAATATAAATAAGAATACTTTTTTCGTAATAAATTATTTACAGATTTTAAGATTTCTATCTAATTACTAATCTTTAAAAATGTTTATTAGCGTAAAAAAATTATTAAATTGTTTGTTATTTAATAAAGTGATATTACTATTTTGATTACTATTTCTGCTCATAATGGTGTTTCAAGATAGAAAAGGATTTCG